TCCTAATTTTCTGAGAAATCACCACACTGATATACAAAGGAGCTGTACCAGCTTGCATTCGCACCAGCAATGCAGAAGTGTTCCTTTTTTTCCATAACCTCTCCAGCAAAAGTTGTCATCAATGTTTTTTATCTTGGCCATTCTTACAGTTGTAAGATGGAATCTCAGAGTTGTTTTGATTTGCATTTCTCTGATGACTAAAGATATTGGACATTTCCTTAAATGTCTTTCAGCCATTTTAGATTCTGTTTAGGTCTGTACTCCATTTTTTTTATTGACTTATTTGTTCTTTTGATGACCAGTTTCTTGAGTTCCTTTCATATTTTGAAGATCAGACCTCTGTTTGATGTGGGTTTAGTGAAGATCTTTTCCCATTCTGTAGGCTGTTGTTTTGTCTTGTTGACCATGTCCTTTGCTTTATAGAAGTTTTTCAATTTTAGGAGGTCCCATTTATTAATTGTTTCTCTCAGTGTCTGTGTTTCTAGGGTTATATTTAGGAAGTGATCTCCGATGCCAATGCATTCAAGTGTATTTACCACTTTCTCTTCTATAAGGTTCAGTGTGGCTGGCTTTACGTTGAGGTCTTTGATACATTTAGACTTGAGTTTTGTGCATGGTGATAGTTATATATGGGTCTATTTTCATTCTTCTACATGTTGATACCCAATCATGTGAGCTCCATTTGTCAAATATGCTTTCTTTTTTCCATTTGATATTTTTTGCTTCTTTGTCAAAAATCAGGTAGGTGTTTGATGGTGTGTGGATTAATGTCCAGGTCCTTGATTTGGTTTCGTTTGTCCTCCTGTCTGTTTATATGCCAATTCATGTGTAATTTTTAAGAAGAGGAAGATTGGGCATCTTTGTTAGAAGGGGCTAGGAGTGATAAAGAAGAGAGGGGATGAGGGAGAAGGGAAACAGGTGTTTGTCCCAGAGAGACAATGGACTACCTTTGAAAAGAGAGGAGACAGATGTGGCACATTGGCAAATGGTGGTTGATAAAGGTAAAGGGGAGAACCCTGTGCTAGGAAACGGTATTTAATTTTAATCGACATGTCATTTAGGTGAGCCAGAGAGTGTTTTTCATTGCTGGACTTTGGTAGTCAACCTCAGGAGGAGGAAGTGGCCAAATAAGGGAATAGACCTTGGTAGCTGGCTTTAGGAAAGTAATCTAAAGGCTTTTAGCAAGGCAAAGGGAGTGCAGGAGAAAGACAAGGCTTGCCAGAGCCATGTGCTTGAGTGGACTAGTGTCCCTTCAGAGCTTGGAGAGATAGCTTAGAAGTCAAGAACAGGTACTTGCATGAGACATGATGGTACTTGCCTTTGATCTCATTACTTTGGAGCCAGAGGCAGGAGGACCCAGATGCCTCCTGGAGAGGATGCAGGAGCACTTGTCTTCCCTTTGCTATGCAAATGACCCTGTACCACTCCACAGACCTGGTCCACAGCAGGACATCACAGATACATGGATCTTACATGCTTCTCTCAACACTGCATAGAGAGCTGCCAGGGTACAGGACTCTGTCACTCTCTGATTTTAGTAATACATTAAGGGAAAATTTTGCTGTGTATTATAAAGGTTTTCATGTCCTATCCCATAATAGCCTTCTAATAAATACATCAAGTACTTTTATTAAAAGGTAACAGCCTTTCCATCATGAGTATTCTTTACCAATGACACAGAGATGTCTTTGGAGTAGGGGCAATATAAATGGCATCTGACAGTCAACTAAGTCTTGACATATAATTAGTTATTCTCATTATGAGATCACTCAAGATTTTCTAGCATTTGTTATAATTTTTAGAAACAGAACTTTAAAATGTTTTAGACTATTCATCTATGAAACATAAAATACAGAAAATTCATGGTATCACCAATGGAAAATATACTTGTCTCCAGCCATGGTCACAGGTTCACAGGTTTGTGTGCAGGCAGCAGGTGCCTGCGAAGCACTGTGCACTTGTTGCACAGAAGTATGTGGCTGAGTCCTTAACATGAGCAGCTGTGATGTTCAGGGAGAAATGTTTTTTCTCCTTATTCAGTAGGACAGTGAATCCTTGTTCTTCTTTTCTGTCCACATTTGAAAGAATGTTTAAAAGGAACTGGAGACCAGCCCCTGGCTCTTGTTTGTACCAGTAGAAGTATTCATTGGCACTGTCTGTGTAGGTGCAGGTAATAAGGGCACTGCCTCCCTCCTGGACACTCAGGAGAGAAGGCTGCTCCAGCTGCTCTCCTCTGCTCACACCTGTGCAAGAGGAAACAACAGGAAGATCATCAGGACATTGTTACCCAGACTTTGCTTTTCTTCCCATGGTGATTTCTGGCAATCTGGAGGAACCAGTCTGCTTCTCAGACTGATAATGAACATTGCCCAATGCCTTGTTTGCCCAAAGCTCTCACTCACCGTTCAGCTGCAGCCACAAGCACAGGACAAAAGGTCCCATCAGTGTCGCCATTGCTCTCCTCGGGCACTGTGACCTTCAGCCAGGCAAGATGGTTCTGTGGTCAGCTCCCCTCCTCTGTCCTCCACAGCACTGCCGGTTCTTCAGTCGTCTGCCCAGGCAGCTGATGATTGTAGCTACTCTCAAGTTTGCAGCAGCAGCCATGGTCTGCCACCTGGTGGACAGCTCCTACTTGTTGCACCAGCTGCTCCTATCCTGTTTTAGAGTACTATATTTTTCATGTATTTATTCTCTGCTTTTGGTCAATATTTGTTCTAGGAATGTAGAATACAGAGCTGAGAACTGATTCAATATTGTTTACTTCAGCACACAATTTCTGAGACACTCCTGACAGCCTCATTCATCACACAGGGTATTTATTACTTGGTAGAATTAGAAGACATTAAGATGGGTCCTCCAGTAACAGATTTCCGTGTTTTCCTGCCTCCCCAACATCCATTATGCTCAGGAGACAGTACCTGGTTTAGACATTAGACACCCCAAGGTGTACAAATTGGGGAGCTGCTGGAGCCGGTGAGAATCTACCTAGTGAATAGGTTGGGAAACTGAAAGGGATCAGAAATAAACTTGGACCATAGAAAGGGAAATGACCTTAAGTGATTGTAGTACTTTTGAGTAACTGATCCTTGGCTGACACACCCACAGTCAGAAACACCCGCAACACACACACACACACACGTGCACGTGCACACACACACAGAGTAAGGTAGCTATGCTTACCTTTCCATCATCAACACCAATAATCAGGAAAGAAATTACAGAATTAAAAGACACCATGGATCAAATGGCTTTACAAACATTACACAACATTTCACACAAAGCTCCAGGGTAAAATAGATTACATTGTTGATCATAATTTAAGCCCTAACAAATACAAAAAAATAATTATTTTTTATTTATCATAAGACTGTGCTATGATAAAATTAGAAGTAAATAGCAAGAGAATCTACAAAACTACATGATAATATATAGAAGACAGGTCTGTGACCAATTGACAAAGAAACATGGAAAAACTTTAATTATTTTTAGATTCAAATGAAAAACAAAAGCAACAATTATAAGAATGTTTTGGTTGCATCAAAAGAAGTTCTCTAGACAGCAAGATAGTATAGCAAGTAAAAAAAGAACCAAACTTGTCTTTAAGAATGACAAGCAAAATTCAATTCCCAGATTTTTGATACAAAGAAATAACCAACTCCTGAATTTTTTCTTAGATCTACATGTATATACCCTAAGACAATGGGTTCTCTCTCCCCTAGCATGTAAACACACACACACACACACACACACACACACACACACACACACAGAGAGAGAGAGAGAGAGAGAGAGAGAGAGAGAGAGAGAATGTAATTTTTTAAGTGCAAAGCATTAAAATAAGTTTTAAAATAGAAGGTTTATAATTAGTTTTGAAATAAAGGTTTATAATCATAAATACTCCCATTAGGATAGGTGAATCTCCTGCTGAGTCCCACCTCTATTACCTGGGAAATAGACTTCAGGCATTATTCATAGTCTCAAGAACCAAGCCCACCTACAGCTTCCAGGAATTTAGTTCCAGGATTCTAGCCCATTACATCCTCCTACAACAAATAAGTTGACATAACTATACCACCCAGGATTTAGTGCACAAGAAACACAACCTACAGGCCTCCTACAATAAACAAAGGGCCTGTCTTCCCCTGTTTAAGACCGTGTACACAATTCAGAAACTATTCTTCAGGTGCGGCCAATCCTAATACACTGGATCCATCTAAAACTCCTAGGAATTTTGTTCTGGAAAGCCAGACCACACAGCCTCTTGTAGCAAGTAGGCAACCTGACTTTTCATGCTTGACCCAACACACACTGCTATAGAAAGTTCTGCTCCAACCTTCTGCATATCATCCTGACTTAATTTCTTGACATGCTTTATTTCTCATATTATTGGGTATGGATGCTCAGGATGGGAAGGGCCATTCTTGGGCAGTGCTTATACCATGAGCCTTCAACTTCCCATTGGTGAAGTAGTGAAAAGATTCTAATGAATTAGAGAGAAATTTCTATCTTTGGAAGGGGGAGGTGCTGAATGGCTTCGACTGTGTCACAAGCGAGACTCCTGGAAAGGAAACCTCAGTTTTGTTCAGTTCAGGGAGAAATGATTAACAATGAGGCAATCATATTATTGATTAGATATGTTAAGAGGAAATGAGCCACTTCCTGGGATGTGTTTGGAAGTGAGTCTTCTACTTCCAATACATGAAGTAGTGAATATATTCTAATGAAGCAGAGAGAGATCTCTGACTTTGTAATGAGGAGGTGATGAAGGTCTTCTCTCGCGTTTCTGGGAAGGATCCTGGGGAGGCCAGCATGGCTTCCAGTGAATTGCAGAAGGGAAATAGTAGGTAGTATTATTATAGTAGTAATAGTTAGTAGATAGGTGAAGGTTGCTGCTGGTGACCATATAATTGCCTTCTCTAAACATTCTATTCTATTCTGGAGAATCCTTGTCATTCCCTGTGATGTCTTCAGTGTTCTGCGAACACCATGTGACAGTGAGATGTTCTTTCAGTGCCCATAGGCATGTTGGCAAGACTGAGAAGGCTGCTTGGGAGATAGAATGGAGAACATGGGGAGACCTGTGAGAGGTAGACAGATGGTAGACTTCAGTCTCAGTGTAAAACATGGAGAAAAACTGATTCTAGGGAAGGCACAGTGAGTCCAGGGCAGGGAATGGGGAGGTTCCTGGAGGAGGTGGAGCTTGAGCTGGGTCTTCCAATCGTGGGACTTGGCATCTTGGAGCTTCTGGGAAGCAATGGGCTTATCCTGCTTCTCTGGGTGTCCCAAGAGCATGCCCAGAATAAATGGTTTCTGATCGTTAGCTTGGGAGAACCATGGATTGCCAAACCTACGCTTGCTTTTCTGGGAGATCCTTAATCTCATTCTGAATGAGAAGGAAGGGCAGCAGGAGCAAAGGAGTGACTAACTAGGTGTCTCTTCCAGGTTAAGGTATTGCTGGACTTCATCCTAGAGGATTCCTTCAGTTTACATGGGAATCTGATGCTAATTAGAAGGGAGAAAATCTCCCCTGGCCATATACCAAAGTCTCAGACATTCAGATACTTTGGTCCCAGACAGATGTGATCAGGATTTGGTGCTGCTAAGCTCTAAGGACAACAGGACTGACCTGTATCACATCAAATATGAGGTGACACTGTCCTCCAAATCTACATTGCTGGGCTAACATATGCCTTTCAGGTCCAGAGGACTGCATTAGGAAGTGAGAGACATGCATAACCATGGTGGACACTGGTTTGAGGATAGCTACCCTATCTGTTTCCTCCAAAACTCTTTGCAAACTTCACTGGGTCCATAGCATTTCCTCTTCCTTGGGCATCTTCTTGTAACTCAGCATGGACTCTCCTGGCCCTATACCATTCAAACATACAAGTTCACTTGCTTTTATCCACCTGCAGGGATAACTCTTCACCTTCACTAAGCAGGAATAGCAGATGACAGAGGTGGAGGATGTCACCATTGAGCTACATACAACATAGGAACAAATTGAGCTGTGTAGATTCATGACTATTACTCCAAGGATTTGAACAACAGGTAGTCATTATGCCCAATTCTCTTCTGACCATGTTGACACTTTCCTGAGGAAGAGGAGACTGAATGTCAGGGTGTCCAGGTGTCTAAACTAATTTTTGTGAGTGCATTGATGGCAGAAGGAGAACTTGGAACCTTGGTAGTTGGGAGATAAGGACATAGGCTATTCTGTTTCCCCCAAAAGAAAAGCAGAGCTTATGGCCTGAATCTCAGTCTGGAGATAGGGACAGTAGTATGTGAGCTCTCAATATACAATTAAAAGAGGTCTTGACGGCTGTTGACATGTGGGAGATGCTAGGTGCTGTGAGTTTTTGGTGCATCTTTGTCCTTGATCAGCAGATGATTGTGTGCTGAAAGCTCCTGGCAGCTGCTGGAAGAACCTGGTCCCATTCATCCATCTCAGTGTGTTGCTGGAAGGCCTGGAGCGCATCACTACTCCTTTCTGGTCTTCTTCCTTATACTCTGAGACAGTGCCACCTTCCTGCATTTCATGGGCATCCTGATTATACATGGTATGTATGTTGGGGCAGGGGATAGAGGGAATCTGTGTGTGTGTGCATTTGTACTCCTGGGAGCCTGGGGTCTGTAGCAGCGCCTGAGTTTTCGCAATTCTCAAAAATTTCCAGGGGATGCCAGTGCTGAGGCCAGGGAACCACCCTTTGACTAGCACACCTTTTGGCCAATATGTTCACCTTGGTGGAACATTGAAATCCTCTGTGGAGTTTATAAACTCATCCTGAAGTTGGGTCTCCTCCCTGGAAATACTAATTGTGTGCTCTGATCCTCTGTGTAGCAATAGGCAGGCACTCAGGAATAAGAATTCCTGCTCTGAAGATAGGAGAAATGTAATCATAGGTTCCTGGTGGGTCCAAATATGTGGCACAGGCTCCTGGGAATTTCTCAGAAAGCTAATCTATAAGTCCATGCCCACTGAGGGTATTCATGCAGCCCTGGATAACTCCATTTGGACCTCTTGCCTCTTCTGGCCTAGGGAAAGGATAGTAAGTTTAATAAGCACCAGGAAGACCCAGTGTATATGGGCAGGCTGTGGCATCCTCTGGGACAGAGTAGTATAGGACATAGTCTGACTTAATATGATGCTTGAGTCTTGTGTTTATGGGGTTCTTGAGCCCATGCCTTACCACAGGCTGAATTCTCTTGAGATGCAGGAAAAAGAGCATAAGCAGGTAATGTTGGACCTGCAGAAATGGCCCATGGAGATTAGTGATGCCTTGAACAAATGCAAGCAGCTGAGAAAAGAGAGCAAACCCTATAGGTACGTGCCTGATTTAGTTAGGAGTGAAGGGGGATGATACTGCTCTTTTTTTTTTCCCAAGGCATGGGCTCTGGTTCTAGCCTGTCTGTCTCTTACCAAGAAGTTTGCCTTGTCTCACTTGGATTTGTGTCTCTTGGACTCAGTTTTGTATGTATGACAAGACAGTGAGCCCCTCCCAGTGATGTCTTAGATAGGATCCACTAGGTAGAATGTTTTGCACCACGAAGGATGTGTCATGCAGTCCAAGGCCTCTGGGGCTCTGTCTTCAGAATTTATTCCTGTTGGGACTTCTGTCCTTCTTCAGAGAGTGTTTGCCCTCTACCTGCTGATGCTTTCCCAGCACCACGAACAGTTAAATACAGGTGTAGACTGCATCCTCTTTTCAGGGGCACAGTATTGCTTTTGCTGTCAGAGTTTTCAGAAGTAGTTTGAATCTTTCTGGAATTGGGTTATGCTCTAGATTTGGCCTACCTCTTAGTGAGACTATTGTGAGCTCCCATCTTGGGCTGTCTGGGGGCCTGAGACGTCCCCAAGAGCTGGAGGCACTTGGAGGTAGGGATTGTAAATGGAGGCAGTATCGGGCTCACCGTTTTTGGACAGTGGTTTAGTTACCTCTGTGGAGGGTTCAATGAGAATTGACTGAACTGAAAAATGATGTACATGTGCTGAGTCTTGAGAAGAGAAAAATGTTAGAGGAACTGATTGTAGTACAAGAGTCCTGCAGGGATGTGAAGAACCTCTTGAAGGATGTCTGTGACAAGGTCTGTGACCCCTGTGCTGAGCAGCATCAGGTAGGCTGAAACAGAGGAAGCATGCTGCCCACCTGTCCAACCATAAACGTAGAGACACCCATGTAACAACCATCCACCCACCTATCCAGACTCCCACCTACATTCCATCCAGCTGTTCTTTTCTGGGATCATTTACAAATCTCTCTGGAGAGTTATTCTCTTGCAAGAAAGTGGATGATGACATGCAAACCCTCCTGCTCTGCTAAAAGCTGTAGTCCACTGAGGGAGACAGTTCAGTCACATATCACACACCTACATGTCATTATGGTCAGAGGACTGCTATACAAGGAGCTACTTAGGGAATAAAAAAGAGCTTTCACAAGTCAGTGACCTGTGGCTCATTTGCTTTGCAGAGGTCACATGAGATTGCAGGAAGGAAACAACTTGCAAGGACTAGAGCTCAGTGTCAATGTCAAGTGAGTGGTTCTCATTGTCAAATTTGGATGGGGGGGAGCATGTGATTTTCTCAATTCTCCCTGTATCCCAATGTGTTCTCTTTTCTTTGTTCAACTCTTAATTCACATTGACAGAAGCCTCAGTATTGTCCTGTCAAACCTGTTTTCTAAGGGTGGTGCTGGACAGTTCTCCCTTGCTGGAGCTTCCAGTCTGGAGCTGACTTGATGTCCATATAGTGGAAAGACTCTGACAGACTGAGAGTTGGGGTGACAGATTTGAGGCTTCAAGAGAACATTTTCTCTAATCACATCAACATCGTTTGATTAAGCTGTGTGCTCCACTAGGAACTTTTATTCCCCATGGAATGAACAGCAGTGTTGTGGGTCTCAGTTGAAACACCTGTTGTGCACAGTCTAAACTCAGCCGTTGATTCAGCATGGCATCTTCTTCATTTTTCTCTGCTCTCTAGTGATTTATGTGGCCTTTGTGTGATGTATGCAAGCATGTGTATTTGTGTTCATTGGTGTGCATTATGTACATTAATTGCAGGCCATTAATGACATCTGGTTTTGTCCTATGTTTCTCTTTCCCTTATTTCCTTGAGCCCAGGTCTCTAAGGAAACCGAAAATTTCTGTTTTGGTTAATCTGGCTGGCCAGCACTCTTTGGATCTCCTCTGCTCTCCAAGTTGGATCTTGTCTCAGCTGAAAGGTCCTGCTGGAATTGTCCAGCTGAATAGAGCTGGTTCAGGTTCGATAGCTGATATAACAGGTCCCCACCAGGCCTGCTTCCTAACTGCCTTCCTTCTCTAGGTCAGAAAATCTCCAGTCTGAGTACAGGATGAGAGCTTCCCATGAACAGAGCTGCTGCAGAGGAGGATGAAGTCTCAGAGGCAAGTGAGCCACCATTGCATTCCATCCCCAGAAAACAGCATTGGTAGGAGAATGGGGCTCTTGACCTTGGATTCCATGTGAATAGGCTCTGAATTTTTCTAGCCGGTGACCCAAGCAGGCTGCTTCTTGGTCTGATTGCTTTTTCTTATCACACAGTAAATCTTGAGAGAAATGAGGAGGCCAAAGAAGTCACAGACGCCTTGAACCCTTGACCTTCTACACACATGGATCAAGGCCTCCTCTGAAGATACTGGGAACTCACCAGTGATCCAAATACCATCTGACCTCCAGGTTATCCAGGCCCAATCAAATTCATAGGTCTGTTGACATCAGTACTCCTAAAGAAAAGAAAACATAAAAATGAGTTTGAGCTACAAAACAATCAAAACAAGAATCACTGAAAACCGTGGCATTCAACATCTAGTGGCCCCTTTGAGGGTTACAACATGGAGCATAGATATTATTGGTGAGCAAGACTCTTCCTGACAGTTTAACGTTGATGCCTTTGGCAAGCTGATTGAGTCCTTAGCCCCCATTATGTGGTGAGAAATGTGTCATAAAAGACTGTGTTGATGTCAAACTGTTCCAGACAGACCACACCCAAAGCATCATATTTCATTCTTCAGTCCAGTGTTAAAGCTGACTCCATGTCGTCCCCATGTGTGGCTGAAGATGATGAACTACAGAGATGCCGGCAGTCCCTATTCCTCGTCTTAGTCATTTTTCCTCCATATGTAAAATGAATGGATATTCTTCAGTTTCACAGCGTGGACTGAAGTCCCTGGTTCTTAGAAAGGATTTATAGAAGAAATATGAGTCATTTTTTATATTCTTGGGTACTCATATGGTGCCCACAGATTTGTTGATTCTCTAGTAGGCCCAAAAGTGTATTTTGGCTGAAAGAATCAAATAGTCGCCAAGATATTACAGAACTTGCAGTGGGTGACAATTTATCAAAAGCTCTGCACAGGACTGCAGAGAGTGCTCTCAGAACATGTCTCAACCTTAGTCTTGATGAGGATTTGACCCACAAAAATCCCAAAGAGGCCTGGCTATTCTAGCTTTGAAAAGGTTTTTTACACTCAGTGACTGCCTTCCTACCGTGTTTCCACAGCCAGCCACAGGCTGTAGGTCTGTACTGCTAAATCTGCAGCAAGAGTCTGCTGCTCGCTTAATTTTTTGTTTGGATTTCATTTACTTTAGTTTTGTTGGTTTTCTTTGTTAAGCATTGAGGTTTGACTACTTATTTGTTTTTTCTTTAGTTCTTGTTGTTGTTTTGGTATTGTGCTAAGGATATTCACTGTTTATATTGGCTGCTCCCTTTAAGCCCCTATTAAGTAAACAGATTTTATTTTTACTAAAAAAAATATTTCCAATTCTTCTTTCCCAGAACAAATTTCTTTGGTCAGGTGTGGTGTCTCACTCCAGTAGACCCAGAACCTCTTATAAGATCAAAACTCTTATGTGACAAGTTTAGGCTACATAGTGAGTTCCCAGACAGCCAGGTCTACACAGAGCTTTGGATGTCGATGGTGTTGCCAACTCTATGGATATCCACTGCACGATGGATAAAGTAACCATACTGTATCCTGGTGATCATATATTTATATATTCCTAAAATACAGAATTCTGTATACACATCTCATACAGTATTCATGTGTACCAAACTAATGAGAAATACAACAGTGTTTCCCTAAAGGGTCTTGGGAAGTGAAAACACTTACTAAGGGATTAGGACATAAATACAGGGCCTGCTTTCCACCTGAGGCCATGATGATGTCCCTGCCTGGGTTTCTGCCAAGGGCCATGTCCTGTCAATAACCCTGACACAGCTGTAGGGATTCTATGTTGATATCCATAACTCCTCCTGCCAGTGAGGGACTTTCAGGTACTTACAGTCTGTGACCATGTAGGTGTCAAAGGGGTATGCCTCAACAGGAGGCATGTGTGTCTTAGAAGCCTAGGCTGCTACCTAAAATTATAATGAGATTTGGGAAGGTACTGATGCTTAGGGCCATGGCCTTGCTGCAGCTAGGGTTCACATTGATGTCTCAGGCTCCTGTTGTCATCAAAGACAGTGGAGATGCCTGGAATCTTGGCTACCACCTTAGGACATTGTGCTGCCAATCAGGTCCATGGTGATATCCAGGCCTCAGCTTCAGCCTTGGGCAATGTCTGTATTCATGCTGCAAACAAAGCCAGGAACTGTTTTCATGTCCATGGTCTGTGTTGGCACCAAGGACCACACTGAAGTAGGTAAGGATCTGGACTACCACATAGGACCATGTTAATGTCTAAGGGTTTTGTTTTTGCTGTGGTTGTAAAGATCTGAGTGTCCATAAGTGCTACCATCAGGGGCCCTGGTGTCTTCTGGTACTAAGAGCTGTCAAAAGCCATGTCTGTAT